GAAGGAAGGAAGGAAGGAAGGAAGGAAGGAAGGAAGGAAGGAAGGAACGAACAATAGTATTGTGATATATACCCTTTGATACATCAAACCAAACTTGAAATTGGTCATATCTGCTTCTCTTCAACTCATAAAAGCAAACGTCGAATATGCTCACTATTTTAGAAAAATGTGTCAACTCCATATCTATACCATGCTGCTGATCTCATGCTGCTGATTTATTTCACACTGCTGTGTTCATTTGTACTCATCTGCTCACAGACTCATGTTCGTGCTGTTGTTTGACGTACTGTTTTTGTACTACTAGAGCTTAGCATATTCTTGGTTTAACGTATTTCTTAGTTCATATCTTAGATCTTATTACTGTTTTTCCTTTACATTTTATACTTTTGTTGGATGTAACTGGGACCCTGTGTACACAATTTTGTTCCATCACATGTAATGAGAATGACAATAAAGAAACTTTGACCATGATATGAGGAACATCTTCTACCCTGAAGCTGTTAGACTCATGAATCCCTAATCAGGATAATCACTGTGAAAAACAATCACTGTAATGCCACTTGATTGTTGATTTGTGCTGCTGACTATCCATGCTGCTGATCTAATGCTGCTGATTTATTTCATGCTGCTGTGTACATTCGTACTCATCTGCTCATGTTTGTGATGCTGTTGTTTGGTGTGTTGTTTTTGTACTATTAGTGCTTAGTGTATTCTTAGTTCATATCTTAGATCTTATTACTGTTTTTCTTTACAATTTATACTTTTGTTGGATGTAACTGGGACCCTGTGTACACAATTTCACTCCACCATATGTACCACATGTGGCGCGAACGACAAATAAACTTTGACATGTGGTATCTTGTCGGAACATAAATAACCTTAACTGGAAAGGATTTGGACTTTACCAACCAGATACATGATAATTAATAAAGTAAGAGAAGTACCATTTAAATTTATATATATATACATATACATATATACATATATATATATATACACATACATATATATATATATACATATATACATATACATATATATATATATATATATACATATATATATATGTGTGTGTGTGTATATGTATATATGTATATATATGTATGTATACACGGTGTGATTTGTTTTGGTCCGGTCTGTTCTCTACTCTGTTGGCCATTTTAGTTAGCTTCTGCTGCTATTTGTATCTGTATTTCTATTTTATGTTTTCCTGTCTGCTGTGCATGTTTGTGTTCTTTTGTACAGCACTTTGGTTGGCCTTGTTGCTGTTTGAAGTGCTATATAAATAAATTGGTATGGTATGGTATGGTATATATACATACATATATATACATACATATACATATATATATACAT